GAGGGGCAATTCAGTTTTCATTCCTGTTCAAGTCTGGAATTTCTATTATGGTTGAAAATGTTCAATCAGGTCAAATAGGAAAGTGTTAAGTAACATAAGAAGTAACAAAAAAGCAGTTGAGAGTAAAATTAATTCGATGCTATCTGGTCAATATTTTTCCCGAATAAAATGATTGCGAAATATTTGCGAAACTGAATTTTGAGCTACAAATATTGATAAAGAAAATAATAAATAGTTACGAGCATTTCATGAATTGGTTTAAGTAGAAACGATTATGACAGTGAGGAAGTTCCGCGATAGGATAAAATAAATCACGAAAGGTCTCCTAATAGCATTAATAAATCAAAGTTTAAGCCATCGACTAAATCGGTTTAATACAATATTCTAAAGGCTTGTCATTTATCTTGGTATGTCCCTTGTTTCTCCCGACCGATGACAATAAATTATTAATTAAAGAACTGTTTTAATAGCGGAGGAGTGTCTTTACTTTTATTTATGATTTTGGATCTTTCATTAAATGCATTACCTTTAATGAATAATATAACTCATACATACGTTTAATGGACTGTCAGTATAATTTATATTTGATAATGGTTTATGCACACCAAAGGTATCTTTATTTAGTCGCTGACAGATTTATTTTCACGACGATACGCCTGTAAATTGGTGTGGATGTTTAAAAAAACACAAAGCAATTTCGCCCTGCAAATGCGCTCAAAAAATGTACCAAGTTTTTGACGACAACTTCTGAATTGTTTGAGCGTAAGAAGTTTATACATGATGAGAGATAACACGAATTTGCATACAAAGTTAGAGTAGTATTGTTGACGTTCTTCTGGTGTCTTTGTTTTGTCAGTGTAAAGCAAATAACGCTGATTGAATGTTGGTTTAAGGCTAGGTCAATAACATACAACAAAGCAAGGCTCTAGCATGATCCATTGTATGTGTAATTCTCAAATTTAGCTTCCAAAGTGGCTTAGAATTGGCATGCCAATATTGTTTTAATTTTCCTCATTATACTTCTGCAGTTGGAATTTATTTCTGTTTTTAAAATAGCGAGAAATGTTTGCTTTGACCAGATACCCATTTCAACTGAATATAGGAAATACTTTAATGCTTTTAATCTATAAATGGACTTTTCGCTTTAATTCTCTTGTCATCGCCCATCCAACCGTTATAAAATGTTTTTAAAAAGCACCTAAATTTACATACCAATGACACCACGGTTCCCGTAACAGCTTGGTTACGTGACATTATATTATATTAAAATTCGGGAACATCGGCTGTTATATCCAAATCCCAACTTCTTTATCTACTTTAGAGCTACGTTATGCTGAAATGTTGCTTTGTTGAATAATCGTGACGGAACGGTATTAGTATTAGAGCAGCAGTTAAAAGAGGGATCATTTCGGAAAGATCTTTTATCATAATGGATCCTTCCTCCTAGAATTGCAATTCAGTTCTATAAATTATGAACTTAAGTTCTCAAATTCTTACTAAATATTAAAATTAAAAATGTAATTAAACATCCATCACAGCGTAGGTATTTCGGTCATGTTTACTTATTTAAAATTTTCTTTTCTATATTACAATTTTGACAACAAATTATTTCAGCGATAATAATACGATCATTGTTTTGACTATACAAGTAATTATCTTCAAAAAGATACTGTGAAAATTTCAAGGACCTTACTTCCATTCCAAACATTGTTGAATTTTAAACATGCACGGTGTTTGCCAATAACAACACAGCCCCAGAAATATTTTTTTTTATCTGGTGTTGTGACACTTATTACCTGTAGTATTTTGACCTGCTGAATCCAAATCCGCGGTCAGTTTGACTCTATCAGGTCAGGATCAAGGTCATAGCTGTATATATATATATTAGTAAGTCCTGTAGCAAAAATTCGAAATCGGCATATTTTCCGAGTTACAACTCGTAAACTTTTTTCTTTTCATTTTTGACCTATTTTGGACTTTTCTTTGGCGATTAAATTGAAAATTTAGTATAAGGAAAATAGCGTTTCAAGATGTTGCTTCTTGTACAGTGTGGAAAATTCTTCACACTTCATGTACAAAAGCATCAGGCACTTTATGAGGGTGATTGACTATATATGTATGAGGGTGATATGACTCAATTACGAGTAGATATGTGCAATTATATTTTAGAAAAATATGTAGGAAATTATGAATTAATCTAAACCATACTATTTACTTATTTATTATATAGTCCATCCCTGTCTGCGAATTAGCATCATGCTTATCTAGCCATTATGCCCAAGTTTACTTTTCGTCGCACATTAGTTGACGTTTAAAGGGCATAATCCATTAAATGTTTTACTCAAAATTTATGGTTCATCCTAAGGATTGGTCGTCGACATGGCACAAGGGGGAATGCAATATGTCCTTGTGTTTGCACTTACTTTACCCGTCTTAATACTCACAGCGTCGACGGCAAAACGGATATGCAGTATTATTAACTTTTTTCTGAGGGAGTTACATTACATCTCCAGCGCACAAAGTACATACTTTCTGCCATCATGCTTTGAGCTAATAATATTTCATTTTCTTCGCAATTGGAAAAACTAGAACTCATTCAAAAAATACCGATTAGTCCGCAAAACAGTAACTTCTGCATTAACGAGATTTAATCATTTAAATTTAAAAATTCTTAATTGAACGGTTATTGTAGCAACTCATTAAATCTCAAACGAATTGAATTGTATTTGCCAGATTCGAATCGACTATTAGCTTTTTCATTTGTTCCGTCCGTCCACAAAGGTTGCTTCATTAAAAGTTTTGCTTTAGAATTAATTATTTTTTTGATTTAAAATATGTTCAATTTCTCTTACCAAGAAAGTGTCAGTTTCATATATTTCTGAGCCATCAAAAAATCTTATACAACAATTTGGAAAAATTACTTATGATATATATTATTTTCGCTCACAGCGAGATGTAGCTTTCAAAAATTCACCCTAAAAATCGAAGCTGACGTCTTAATAAATCGCGCTCAACGCCAACTAATAAAACTTCTATTTATCCTATAAAATTTGATAAAAATCTGAAAATAAAATCTGCGCTCAGTGCCCATATTGCTGAAAATAGCCTAATAGATTTTCTCGTAACTTATCGTCCTCCAGGCTCGATAACTATAGCAAGAAAAGTTTTTTTTGGCCTAGCTGTAATATGTTATTTTGATAGAAAGGGTCAATATGAAATCATCCCTTATATGACAGATATATCGGCAACTGGGCCTTCACATTATCCCCATTATCTTTTCTCATTTCTTTATACTTATCGATGTTGGGGGAGACCTCAGATTATTTGTTGAAGCTGCAGGGGATTTAAAATATCGAGGTGACTAGAGACCATCTGCTTTATTTCGACAATTTTGTTCTTAGATTAAGATTTGTCGGATACAATTTCTTATGTGCACACATATGCATTAGCTTTATTTTCTCAGACCCAACTCGAGATTTTCAAAGCGTTGCCTATAGAAATCAATTTTAAATGGTATACGTTGTAATCGCGAATTCCGGTTTCTTTGCAGTTGAGCGTTTTTACATTTCTACGATGTAATTCTTGCGGATATTGCACGCCATACCAATATTCAATTTCCAGCTTAGGCTGGGATATTTGTTCTTATTGTCAACCTTTTTCTAAAGAAACGAAAACAAAGTCTTTAGCAGTTAATTTCAAGGCATACAGGCAGTTCTCAGCTTCAGCTTGATTAAAAACGAATTTTGCAATTCAGACGAATCGGTTCATTTAAACGGAAAATAGACGAAACATTCCAAACTTATTGTTTCCCAAAAGAGCGAAAATGCTGCTTCAATTAAGGAAGGTAGGAATTGTGAACGAGATAAAATTTTCTTTTTAGATCACGAGGATGATCTTGCATAATATTGTTATAATCTCTGGAGTGTAAGTTTAGTAGTAGAATCAAGGTGGCCAGTAATATTGCCAGATTTAAGATAACCTGAGTATTTACTTTGGCAGTCGGTGTCAGAATATCTGGAGATCTATTTTTTTTACTTCTGTGCCAATAATATTTTAGATATCAATTTGAAATAAAATGGAAATGAATTCATTCTGAAATGGAAAATGGCGTTCGAGCCAAAACGTGCGTTTTACGACAACCCATATTTTAACGGTTTGGAACACTATAAACAAATATATATGGCCAGATGCACGGCTTGACTAAGAACTCGCTAACCTACAATGCCATATATATACGTTTAAAACCATATTTCATCCACAGAATAGCAATTTGTATGGTTTGGTTTAGGTCCGATCTGAGATATTGTTTTAATGTATATTTCTTTGTGAACTTTTGAAGTATGTATTTAGTTGACAATTCTATCCGACATACGATAAAACTTTGATCACTGTCAATACTTGGAAAATGATAAAAAAGCGGATAAAATTTTAATTTTGTTTTAAATAAGCACTTGTTGCTTTTTAACTTAGAAATGAAATAAATCTAACAATAATTCCTTAACTTGCTGCTAATGTGATTTTAGTAGGCGCGAGCCGGTGGTAATATTAGGCTTTGCTCTATTCAAATATGAGTGAAAATATTATTCAAAAATTAGTCCAATTTTTTTGGGGAATTTACTCTGAAAATGATTGAAGCAATGTTACATTTATTTAATTTTTTTTTGACTAGCGTTTTTCCGTATTATATCGTAATAATTAAAATTAGTGGAGATGTAGAAAGAAATTATCAGTTAAGTCGAAATGGGTTGAAGGTTGAAGTAATTCATAAGCCCACAAGCAGAAACTAAGCACAAAGGAAAATAACGAATCCAATTGAAAACATTAAATCCATTTTATTGAGGCTAAAGCCTCTCCAAAAATGAATCTGAAAAGCGCAAGGAGGCATGTCTTGCATTTATCTCCTGAAAATTTTCGAGCATTCCTGCATTGTGTATTTCCTTTGTAGTTGTCTGAAACCCGTTTGATTTTATTTTATTTCAGTGGAAACCGTTTTGTTTCAGGAAGTAACTTTAAGAAAATGTAGCAGTGATGAAAAGCTGGGACTCACGGTATGTTACAGTTCCGGTTCAGAAGTGGATACTTGCACAGAAGTGTACATTCGTGATATTGCACCTCAAAGTGTAGCAGATCGAGATGGAAGGCTTAGGCAGGGCGATCAAATTCTACAGGTATTTAAAATTTTCGCGCTGTTTATTCTACAATAGCCATATTTTCCAGTCAAATACTACTAGTTTTAAATTAATATATGTTCATAGAGAAAGGTTTGAAACCACAAAATTGGAATTTTTCGGCAGTTATCTTGCTTTTCACGTTTTACCAGGAAAATTCGAAGCTCGGCGGATGGCAGCATAGACAGACTTTTTCGAGACAGATAAATAATTCATAATGTGAAGTGAACAAGACTACGTGAGTCTAATTACATAGCAAGCTGGGCTTCGTCTCTGAGCTCTCCTCTCAGCATTGCTTAATTTATTTTGTATCAAGAGTGTCACTGCGGGTGCAATCAACCTGCCTCATAAAGCCAAACCTCAAGTAATGTTACATTTATCAATCGTTGCAATTTATTGTTGCATCTAAAATAGTTTCAAATAACGCATATGTGCATGCAAAACTATTTTCAAGTCCATTTTACAGCGAATTAAATTCTCAAACTTATATTCCAACTGTCGATGTCTGAAATAGCACAAAGAGCGCAAAGCATAAAACGCACTATTTCTACCATTAAAAGTTTGGATTTCACTATATACCGCAAGTCTCTTCGGGTTAATATTGGAAAGGTTTTGAAATGAAATCCAGTCGATGAGGTCGACCGAACTTTTTTGCTTTTCTCATATACACTCACGTTGAAGCCAGACAATAGAAAAAAACGCTATTTACTCTAAAACGAAAGATCGATTCTATTCGACTTGGATCTAACAACGGGTTTAATCGATTAACTGCTCTTTCTTTCTCATCGTTTTGCCTACAACTGAGGATTACATTATCAAACTGCAATGGAATTTGCGTTTAGAACTTCTAACAAAGAAATCTCGTCGAATAAAATGTTTGGTAGCACAGAACAATTTAGGGCGTAGTAATTAAAATAAAACAGCTGGAGACGCAATAAATTTGCCTTGTCCTAAATTTTCATTGTAGAATATTTCTAGGTATTTTCTAACTAAAGGAGGCAACTTAAAGTGATAAATGATGGATTTGAAATGTGAAAACACCCGAAATAATACGTTTTGAATCTGATAAAGAAAAGCTTAGATATATTAAATAATTTAATAGATAGAAAAAAGCAGATTTAATATCCTAACTGGCGAAATAATGAAATAAATTGGTCAATTTATTTTATAATAATGTGTAAACCGTGTGAAATTTCTCGGTAACAGTTGAGTTTACGTATAGCACATGTTGCCTGAATTATAATTCAATGGCTAATTCAATGGCTAATTCCAATGTGAAATAAACAGCAGGTGCGTCCAGTTCGAAAAGAATAAGTTGATGGTCGTAATTTGTTTTTGGACCACCCTTTAAAAATAAATTTAATATAAAAAAATCACTTTTATACATAAAAATTGGCGGGTCCCTAGGCTTTTCCTAACAAACAGCCCTCTGTATTTTAAATGAATTTAGCCACTACTTCTGGGACTCACTGTATATAAAACATAACAAAATATTTAAAAATGTTAATCGGAATGACAATTAAAAGGATACATTTCCGAAGCATATATATTTTTAGTGTAACTATTTATCTACAATTTTAAAGAAATTTATGGAAATTTAAGGAGTATGTTAGTTACCAAATCTGCATATATTTGGAATCAAAAATTTGTATAATTTAATCATCTTTATTCCAATCATTAGAAATCATTTTTTAAACATCAAATAAAATTTGTATTTCTTAGTGTATTATATAAGGTTGATAGAACATGTATAATATATATGTATAATTCAATTTATCGTTCAGGTCGCTAGGAAGTTTGCACAAAACTATCAAGTAATTAATTGAGTTTCTCTGTTAGTGACTTATTGACGTAATTATATATCTAGTATTTAAGGTATTTTGCATGTATCTTTTGTCACAATATTCCATGCAAACGCAAAATGCATTCAAAGCCCGTATGCATAAATTCCCCCACAAAATTTACGAATGCAAAACTTAATTTCAGAAATTTATAGATGATGAGATCTGAGAAATACAAAAATCTGCGGAAATTTCAATCCATTCAAATTGCAAATTCTAGTGTGAAAAATCTTTTATAACAGAATGCGACGAGATCTGACAAAGAGAAATATTCTACATACTTTGCATATCTTTTTTACTTCGACTCGACATAAGCTTAGAATGCATATAGAACACACTGCAAACTAAGTTTCAATATGTTGCCAATACCGGCAACTTTCCAAAAAGATTATAGAATCTTTTATGGCAATATTCTCCAAGAGTAGTCATAGCTACTAAAGGACTCTATAGGTTTTATGGAAGTCTCGTAGAAAAATAAGACTTGAATCGCTGTTCACATAGTAATGGTAATAATTATTATATTTGATTGCGTCTCACTTGCATCTTTGTAAGTGAGATGCAAATCCATTAATATTTGTATTAATATTGCTCAAAAAAATTAACTTTCCACGGAAGAATTGTCCTAAGTTTGAAACTCTATAAATTATGATTGCCGAGAGGGATTTGATTTCTATTTGAAGCATAATTTAGCCTAATTCAATTTCCCTCCGTCTGGGTTTTTGATAAAAATTAAGTGGCCAGGTTAAATGTCCTACAAGGTGACAAAGAAGCAACGCACATTTAAGGTCCACATGCTCTTAGTTGGAGAAAAAAAAGTTTTTCTGCATGTCAACGCCAATTCTTTTACTTACAGAGTGATCTCAAAAAATCAAATCTTTGGTCTTGTAGGGCTAACATTTTTCCCCTTGGTTCGCTTTTCACGATCTAAAGCCCATGCTGAGTGTAAAACTCATCGACAAGTTAAGACAAAAAATCACTATGCGGAGTTGCATGAAAATTGACCCAAATCAGAATTGCCTTTGAAATCTGTGATTTTGGCAGAGTTCCAACTAAAGTGAAATATACAAATATTTCGTTCATCCATTTTGATATTTTTCTCAAGTAGACTGTGAAGGTTTAGCTTCCATATGAACTGAAAATGTATCACTGCATGACCAAAATGTTAATTTTTTTGAGACCACTCGGTAAATAAACGACATGAACGAAAAACCCGAAATTGTTTTTTGAGAGATTCTCGAGAGAGATGATCTTAATGCCTGTGGTGTTGAAATACAAATAAAACGTTTTTTTTTCACTGACAACGCGTAGAACTTTCACCACTTTTCAATAGCTGAAGTACATTTTTTTTGCAGAACCACGCACTAATTGAGAAAGAAAAATAATATTAAATAAATAACGCTTCAAACAGAAATAGAATCGCTTGCAGCAATGAGAATTTATCCAGTTCCAAAGTTGATGCAAATTTTTCAGTGTAACGTTGATTTTGTTGAGCAGTTAATTTTATTGCACGTATTAAAAAAAAACTGAAAAACCGTTTTCTTTCAGGTAAACGGAAAGGATGTGGCTAATAAAGAAGAAACAGAGTCGCTGTTTGCCGAAAATAGGAAAGCTGTTACCCTACTTGTGAGCAGATGTTATAATAGGGTAAGTCAGCACAACTATGTCAAGTTTGCGCTGCCATCTATACCCAACTCGAATGTCGTGCCGCAAATCGATCTATGCATGTATTTCATCAATAATTAAACAAAAAGAATGCTCTATATTCAGCTTCCTCTTGCACTAATGGTAATTGATTTTTTCAGAGTGAAGAATACTTAGACGTGGAACCTATCGACTCTTTAACGTCGCCGAATGGCAAAAGCGCTGCATACCAAAACAGTTTGATCGAGCAGTTGGTTCAACAGCAATCCGAAGCTCAACATTCCCCAAAAAATGACAATCCAGCACCAAAAATCCCATCGCATTTCATTCCTGACAAACTCAACCTTACAAATTCGCTGGTACGCTCCAAAATTGATTCTATCAATCAGGAAATCTCGCAGCTTGATTTTCGGATGCAAAACATCTCATTCAAGAGTGATAAACGCAAAGCTCCCCAGTTGCCACATATTCCACCTCCAGAGTCTGATACAGAGCATATCTATGAAACAATTCCAGAAAATTCGGTAATTGATGGGGAGATTGAGCCGATTTATTCTTGCCCATATGAACCAGGAGATGATAACATGATTGAACAATGGCTGAAAGTGCACCAAGAAGAAGTATGGGTGACAACGCCGGGAAAAGATGCAAATATTGATGCTGAAGATAAGGAGGAGAAGAAGGAATCTGTGAAGAGCAAATCTAAGGCACCAAAGAGTAACAGCAGTGGAGAAGAGCACGAAAATAGCTCCAGTGCTTACAATACGGGGGGTTCTTCGAATAGCAATCCGTTGACTTTTGAACTAGCTGCCACTCAGGATTCCAAACAGAAAAATATTTACAGGTGAGTAACTACCCTTAAATTAGCTATTGACGAAAAATAAATTGTCAATTAATTTGCTGGGAAATGTAGGTATTAGAAGTGCCCTGGCAAATTTAAATGATTGGGATTTTCCTATCTATTACCGTTCCGCTATGTTATTAAGCATTGTTGTGCTTCCGTTAGAGGTACGGACTAGTCGTTAGTCTAACAAGCAACGCACTTAAAGGTCAAAGTGGGTTTACGTGAATTTTCTCTGACAAAACGCACCGTTCGCAACATCTTCAATGCTTATACAGGAAAACTTATTAAAACAATTTAAGTGTCGTTTATCGTTGTAGGTCAACACTGATTCTATGTCCACTCGAAGAAAAAGAGGATACACTGAAAGAAAAAGAAGCCAAAACAACTTGCGAGTCGTGCAAGCGGCAGGCCGCAGCTAAAGCCAAAAAATCAAAATCTAGTTCCAAAATTATTAGTCCCTCTTCACCCACTAGACGAGTTGGCTTAAGTCCGGCGCACATGTTATCGGATACCATGTATACCAATGTGGCAAACTTACAGCAAACTATGATGCTTCAGCAACAATTGTTCAGGCAAGCCTTAGTTGCTCAAAGCTCAGACACGGGAACTGTTAAACCAACAACCAGTTTCACGTCACCGAGCCTTAGCCAATATCAGTTTGTAAGCGGATCTCAGGTAAGTCAGATTTTTGCTTGGAAATGATCCAGGCAAGTTGTTTCAATCAGCATCTTCAAAAATTTTACGATATACCTAGTCAGTGTGCTTGATTTGGTTGATATTTCAGGGATACCCTACGATTAACCAAGAGAAAAGCGTTGAATCCAAAATGGAATGGAAAGTAAAGAGACGACCGGACGGAAGCCGATACATTGCCAGAAGGCCGGTACGGAACAGGATATTGAAGAATAGGGAAATTCGAATTTCAGAAGAACGTGCTGGATTAACTACTGAAGATGATACCATTTCCGAACTCAAAGTAAGTGTCGAATATGAGGCAAAGTATGAATCTAACGAAAATATTGTCGCAACTCACCAACAGATTTGAACTAATTTTTGTTAATAGTCAAAATTGGATACATTGTTTTAATACTATTCGTCCAACAATTCGTTTAATTCACTCGTATTTAACAAAAGAGAAATTTTTAAGAAGGGACTATTATAAGTGATAGTGCGACACTTGATTATTCTCATTGACTTTTTGGAATCGGAGGTGGCTAGGTAAGTAGAAGAAACAAAACCCTATCACTTGGTAACGGATTGACCGTTGTCTAATGTAATTTGACTATAAAATAACCATGACGGTAAAACTTTATCTTTAGAAGAAAGAGGGCGCATTCAAGCTCATTGAGAGGAGAATTTTTCAAAACGAGAAATTGCAAGAAAAATCGGGCGCAAGTCATGAGTAATCAATACTTATTTGAAAGACAGCGAACACTACAGAAATAATCAACAAGGATCGAATTGGAAGTAAAGTGTGTGTGGAAGTAAACTTGTGCAAGAAGCCTTTGTTTCTTGCACGCCATCGACAAGAACGTTTAGAGTTATCACGCATTCACTGCAACTGGACAGAGCAATGGAAAAATGTTGTTTGCACGGATGAAAAAAAGTTTAACCTGGATGGTGCTGATGCCTTCCAATAATACTTTCATGGTCTAAGGATGGAGGAAAAAATTTTGGCTCGAAGTCACAGTAGTGGTTTGGGCAGCAATTTCAAGTCAAGGGAGAGTTGGCATAGAGTTTCTAGAAGGTCGGTAAACTGCTCAAAAGAATTTGCAGCTGCTGCAACGGCAAATTGCTAACATAACAGCTTTATTTCCGGATCAAAAATTAATTTTTCACCAAGATAATGCGTCAATTCAGACCGCCCAAATAATCCAAACCATTAATAATATTTCAGTTCTGGACTGGCCTGCTATTTCCCCACAATTAAATATCATATAAAACTTATGGGGTTGGCTGGTCAAACGAGTTTATACTGAACGAAGATAATTTAATAATAGAGAAGAAATAATCGCCGCTGTTAGAGCCGCCTGGGAGGAAGTTCCAGTGAATCTAATAGAAAATTTACTCAATTCACTGCCCCATGGAATATAGGAGTCATTGAGAAGCAGGGAGGGCATACCAAATATTAAAATAAGTATTGGGCTTAAATGTTGTGTTTTAGGTTAATTCTAAAACATGAGAGTAATCTAGTGTCGAATTAGAAATTACTATATTTGCTTTACAAAAAAATTCAATTGTAGAATACCAAAGTGTTCAACAAAATATTAAATAAATAATGTAAAAATATTTAATCTAGTGTTTGATGTAGCTTACTAATGAAAATATTTTGTATTGATAAAAATTAGTAAAAATCATTAGGTGAGAGAAATCAAGTGTCGCGCACTGTAACAACCAACTGGGAATAAAAAGTAACACTTACCAGACTAGCAAAGCAGTACTTGCATGGAAGTGACCAAATATGAAATATTATCTTAGACAAACTGACAGGAATTTACCAAAGCTGTCCTTACCACCTGAGAACACTGTCAAATCCCAAATAATAAACCACATTCTGTTGGACAATGAAAAGTTTTGGCATCAGCAGAGCCGTCATGAGCTTTTGAAATTCATGAGCTAATGAAAGGACAAATTTTGAAATGCGCCAATCTCAGGCACCCCTAGGACCGGTTTTGAGCCTAATAGCGCTCATCAGCTGGGTTCAGTCTGAAATTCTTCTCCAGCAGCGATTCCGAAACTTGTACTTTATAATGCCATTGTGTTTACATCGACGCTGAAACTAGTTGCTCTCAATCACATTAGTTCAACATTATGTTGTTTGTTGTTTTTGAATTGTGGTCCTGAAAAGGGACTTTGGGATCTTTGATCAATATTTGAATCTCAAGCGATGAAACTCTAGTTGAACTTATAAAAAATGTAGTTATTAAAACCTGCACACCCGGATGTTCAAACAATAATCTCACTCATTAAATTTATCAATATTGAAAAAATCTCCAACTTCTACATCATTAAACGAATAACATCGTTGTCATTTTTAATACCCCTGTGATAAAAACGAGATCTTAATCTATTTAACCTAAATTTTCTCTGTTTCTTCACGTCTAGATTGGAAGGTATTGGACCAAAGAAGAACGTAAGAAGCACCTAGAAAAGTCTAAAGAACGGAAGCAACGACAGGAAATACTGACAGCGTCAAGACACATTGATGAAATCATCGAAGAACCGATTAAGTCGAGCTCCAGAAAGGTGGCTAACAATATTGATAACACTGCCAAAAAACATCGAACAACAAAATCAAGAACACACAAAGACAAAGATGGTCATGATGTACAAGACGTCATCATTCATGGGCAAAAGCCACCACAGACGAACGGAAAGTTAGTCGGATTGTTGTCGGTAACTACTGTTTAATTCTAGCTTTTCAAATAGTGTATATATATATTGTACTGAAAATACAATCTTTAAATGTAAATAGTTCCTTCAACTAGTTGGCTTTGTCATTATAATTATCTAAAATACTTATATGAGATATTGACGTACTGGACTGTTCTTGCTACCTGTTGAAAAGTTACGTTATTCATCTAAAGACAACAATTTTGCATTAATTTAAAATCTATTTTACCATTTCATGTATGTCATTAAACAAGTTAAATTGTTTAATAAACAATAGCTAATAATTAGAAAAATGCTTTGTAATTGATCAAAATATAATCTAAACCAAATTAAAAAAATTCTGTTATGTAAAATATCTTCTGCTTTTATGAGTAAATTTGAAACCATAATTTAATTACCAATGTGATGTTCTTCTATTTGTAGGTGTACATATCAGGTATATACGATACGTACGAGTAAACTCCTAGATAGACAATTTTCATATAGTAGCATACATTTATAATTGGACAATGCACATATTTTTTTGTAATATAGGGTTTTTCTATTAGGAACTGAAGGTTCCGGGTTATAATTTTTATATGATAATACTTGAATGTGTTGGCTTCAGCTCTACCCAGATAATCCTCTAGTTTCTAGTTTTAGCGGTTCAAACCAAATATACGTTTAATTTTGTGAGGATTTCTTTGGTCTCAAGTGGTATCCTATGGTTAAGGCGGACCTACACAGGGCATTGGTTTTTTTCAATGGAAAACAGTTGATGTCTATATGCATATACTTAACGTAAGTAAGTAATATCATTTAAGCGATAAACCGTATTTATTACTAAACTTAACCAAAACGCTTCTGAATGTTTTCCAAAACAGTTGATAGAAGAAGATATATATACCCACTGCAAATTTATTCAAATAAGAAGTATATGTGATATTTATTTAAAAAGCAAAGAACCGGCTTTGTAGACAGAGCGAACGTTCATCAATGTATATCATTGTATTGTATTGGCGTACGCAAATATTTAATTTTTGCTTTTAGCAAGCACTGGTATTTAATGAAAATCTAGCTCCACCTAGTTGTATAATCAGTGTCGAATGAAATAAAGATATTATCGACAATTGAAGTGTATATTCTTTATTTCAATCCATGATTCCCAAAAATAAAGACTGATTACGAAAGTTGAATAGGAAACCTATATTTTAGATTTTCAGTTACACCTACAAAAATTACCACCCTGTACCGCAAGATAGATTAAAATAAAAACGTTGTTATACATTTTATCACCTCAGATTAACGATTAGTAACGCTAATTCTGAAACAATGGTTTCCAAAATGTCCCTGGGATAATTCAGGAGATCCTGAATGACTCCAGGAACCCTTTGGGAGCCCATCTTCAAATTTAACCGGTTAAACCGACGAAAGTCGGTTTAATATAAAATTATTGAATAGGACCCTTTGGCAAGTAGTCAAACTCCGAGCACAATTGGAGATGAATACATACTAATACAGGAGCGAGTTATTATTGAATTATCCACAAATAAGGAGCTGAAACCTATGTTTAACATTTCCACAGATCCCAATTTTATATCCAGCAAACAAAAGCTTTAATTTCAGTAAATATTTATTCAACACAATGTTTCATTTATTTTTACGTCACCATTCACAACAGAAGACATCAAAGTTAAATCGTGAAATTTTCTTTTATATAGTAGTTTTTTATCGCAGCATTAAAAACGCAACAGCTAAGAATTCATAAGACTATAGTTTAAAGTATGCATATTTAGTTAATGCGACAGTGTTACATTTTGTTTCGGTTTTAATAACATATCAAAAATGAGCCTAATAAAACCTGAGGAGCTAATTGTAGAAGTGAGGAAAAATTCGGTACCGTACTTTTTCCCGCAGTTTTTCCCAAAAGACTAAACGCCGACATGGCCATTCTTAAATATTGATAACATTTCGGCGCGTCGTCGAACAGATGAGGGAAAACGTGAGAAAAACTGTCCTTCATGAGGTCTTGTTTTCTAAGAAGCATGGACCCAAAATCTGCGTTTTCCCTTGTTCTCCCGCAGATATCTTCGTTTTTCTTTTGCTTCCTTTTTCTGCTTCCTCTTTCTTCTGCTTTCTTGTCAGACAAAGTGCTACCATGGCGAAGTCACATACGCTAAAAATTGTAAACAATTTTACAAACCTTCGCTGCAATATGGCTTAGAGATATATATATGCAATCGATGCAATAGGGATAATAGGAAACCCTTCCAATGTTGTTTTTGTTCCCCGAAATTGGAAACCCATCGTTGATTTTGCTTTCATACTCGTCAGGTCTTGCCGAATGTTGCAGTATTTGGATCCAATTCCGAATTGAGGAAAAAATTGTAAAATATTTGTTGATAAGTTCTATATTGTTGAGGCGGATTTATTTTTTTACAAACTTCTTGTTGGGTATTTCGCCTCAAAAATTTTTGTCTTAAAAAAACAGAATTTCCTCACGTTTTCTATTACAGATTGATAAATAGTGCTCCTATTTCGCAATAAGAACGAATTATTTATCAAAAAGTAATCAAGAACTATCACCT